GGACGTCGTGCCCCCCCCCCCCCCCCCCGAATATTAAGCACCAGCCCTGACCTAGAGGGACTGCTTCCCGATGGCTGCCTCTTCTGTCCTTGGACTGTCTGACAAGAGGGTGCCAGGACACCGGGCTGCCAAGAACTGGCCTGAGATCCACCAACTTGTTTCTCACAGATCATCAAACAGCTGTCAGCCTGCACCGGCTTCCAGGCCAGCTGGGCTGCGTTCAAACCAATAGCCTAAAGGTGAAGCGTTTGTTCCAGTTACCTGAGCCACCCGCTTCCTCGTCGCCAGCGGTGCCAGCCTCCCGAGAACGGGATTGATGGTGTCAAAAGTACGGGGGGGGACACACCGTCGGGCCCCTGGTTGTCTCGGGGTGAGGCAGGAGAGCTCTGCTGTGAGCTCTTTCCACGTGCAGCACCCCAGAAAGCAGTTTTGCCTCTTTCAGATTTCCTCCCTCTCTGTGCCTGCGCGTGTCCCTCATCCTCCTCCCTCTTCCCCTTTGCCAGCGCGTTTGAACCCGCCGGGTTTGACCTCCTCGCTCAGATTTCCTGGAGGGCGGCTGGGCTTTGCTGGGAGCCGTGGGGAGCCAGCTGGCCTGGAGGAGAGGGGAGGGGAGGGGACCCCTCGGGGCTTTGCACCACGAGGACGATCGCAGCTTCAGTTCCACCAGGTCGCTGAGTGCCCCCTGAGGGCCCTCGCAGGGGAGATGTTTTGGTTGTCCAGCTGTGGGAGATGCTTCCTTCAGCGTTACCGAACGTGCAAGAGAAGCGATTTCCTGAGGTTTTCCTTTTTTTTTCTGCATCTCCTCCCGTACAGCCGAAGTCTTGTCACCCGGAGCCGCACCTGGGGGTGACAGGCATGAGTGGGAGGTGATGTCCGACCGAGGGCTTTAGGCTGTGGCAGTTGTGATCCGGTGGCGTGGACGTGCTGAGCCCAGGGAGCGGCTTTTTGGTGTTAGAAAGCCCCCCCCTCCCCGCAGAAGCATTTAACGCCCCCGCGTGCTGCTCCCGCTCGGGCTGCCCGGCTCGCGCTCCTCGGTGTGAAACCGAGGGTGAAATGGGCTGTTGTGGCCTCCCGCCGTCCTGCGCTGCCGGTCGTGTGCCCTGGCTCCCACCCTGACCTGGCAGTAACCTCCGGGCACTGCTTGGCCGGGCGCTCTCTGCCGTTAGTTTCTTATCAGCGCGCTCAATGGCTTTCTGGTTTCCTCTCTCCCCTCCAGACCAAGGATGGCATTCAGAAGAACTTGGAGAACGAAATCTTCAAGTACGACTTTAAGACCTCTTTCTTTGACATATTTGTGAGTATCCCAGGCTGCTGCCGGTGAGGAAACGGCTTCGGAGCTGGGGGTGGCGCAGCCGAAGGCTGGGCAGGGAGGGCCCGTGTGCTGGGGCGGGGCTGGGGTCTCCCCACAGCTTTGCCCCTCACCTGGCTCCCCTGAAATGGGGCAGGTCGCAGCCTTGGCCCCATCTGTCTGGGTGGCGAAGTCCTGGGGAGCTGGCCCGCCTCTGCGTCCTCCCAGCGCCTGGCAGGGGGACGAGGGCAGTGACGGGTGTCGATGGCTTTTTTTTGTTGTTGTTGTTGTTGTTGTTGTTTTTAAAGGTCTTGGCTTTCTTCCGGTTTTTTGTGCTGCTGCTGGCCTACGCCGTCGTAAAGCTGCGCCACTGGTGGGTCATAGCGGTAAGGAGGCAATTTCGGCTTTCCTGTTTTGAATTTTCTCTCCCCGCCCGGAGTCTGCAGCGATCCAAGAGACGTCGATTTGTTTTTTCAGGTCACTACGTTGGTATCCAGTGCCTTCCTGATCGTGAAGGTCATCCTCTCCAAGGTTGGTTTCCTGGGGCTCCCAGGGGGTTGCTTTGTGGTTACCTGATGCTGCTCTTTTCCCCTTCGTGTAAACTCCCTGTGCTTTCTGCTCGCTTCCACGCAGCTTCTGACCAAAGGGGCTTTCGGCTACTTACTCCCCATCGTCTCGTTTGTCATTGCTTGGCTAGAGACTTGGTTCCTGGATTTTAAAGTCCTAACTCAGGAAGCAGAAGAGGAACGATGTGAGTATTTTGCTCCTCTGTGGTACGAGTTGGCAGATGAGACTCCCAGGCCTGGGGTTTCTGCTGCTTTGGCAGCACCTTGACAGATATGACATTTATGGAGAAGTGATCTCCAGGCTGGCTGTGACGGTAAGTGCCTGACTCAATTCTGTTATGGTATATAAGTCCCTTCAGGGGAAGAAAATACCAGATTATAAAAAGCATCTTTTAATTGAGTGGAGAAAAACGAGCCAAATTCCCCAATGTCTGGATCCTGAAGCCAGGCGTGTTGGAAGCGGAGCTTACCTCCGCATCGGAGAAAATGTTTTGAAACAGTGGGACGAATGCCAGGCGGACTGTTGGACTCTCCCTCTCTGGATATCTGTCTTCAGATCCGGGCTGGAGACCTTTCAGGGAGGATTGCTTCAGTCACAGGCACGTTACAGGGGCGCGGCGTGTGAAATTTTACAGCCTCTGGTCGCTGAGGTCAGACTAAAGGGAGATCGAGTCTGACCTCATGCTTTATAAATTGCCCTGCGGTGCTGAGCGCCTCTGACTTCCAGGGGTCCTTCTAGGGAGCGGGCTGGCACGGCTGCCCGTCCCTCCAGCAGCAGCAGGAGTTTTGTCGCTCTCCCAGGCCTCGCTGGCGAAGGAGGGACCGGGAAAGGGCACGTAACCGCAGGAGTGTTTGTCAAGCGGGGCTCGGTCAGAAGTGCGGTGGCTGACTGGAAAACACCAGAGGATGTTTGGGTCTTGCAAGGAGGCTTTAAGATGAAAAATGATCAAGTGTTTAATGCCTCTATTGGATTAGGCTCAGGTTCTAAATTGCTTCCAGGGGAAGCTCTTATTTAATTAGATGCTTAATCGCCTTTGGATTTGACAGGCAAAAGAGCCCATTGATCTCCATGCAGATAAAATGTCTCAAACAAAAGATGAGGCAACAGGAGCTGAAAAGCTGGTGGGCTGGCTGGTGTCGGTGCGAAAACACCGGCTGTATCTGGAAGAAAG